CACCCAGAAAGGCCCCCACCTGGGATTCGATTTGGCGACAATGTTGCGCGAGGCAGCAGCGCTACCAACTGCGCCACCGTGCCGACATCCACGGGGAAAGGCTTTGCCTCGTTTAGGATTTATTTTTGTGATGTATTGAAACTAAAGCAATAGCACATTATCCCCATTTGAGCTGAAAGTTTTAAGTGTTTGTATGGATTTGATAAAACTGCAGGAGGAAGAGCAAAAACAAAAACTGATGGGAACAGAACAATAACAGTTGTGCAACAATACGGTTGCTTCAGAGTTTATGTATCTGCATCTTTATTAACATTTGGTTAATACAAGTGTTAGATTAAAATGTCAAAAACACATGATGTGAATTTATTAGTAATAAAATTAATAAGTGTTTTTTATTTTCAACAGAAACAACAGATTTGTTTTGAGGTTGACATTGATCCATTTCCCTCAGCAACGTGCACGTGTCACTCTGTCTCATTAATCTAGGGCTAAAGGGACTGTGTGACAGCAAGGACACGTCTTCAGCTCCTCTGCTCCGGGTCTTTCCTGTGTGCCCTCTTCGTGGCCGTATCACCGACAAAGGTCTAGTTTGAGTTATAAATAACCGGCACCGCCTCAGATCTTTGGAGCTGTTTCTGTACGCAGCTAATGTTTGCTGACAATCAGCTGAGGATACGAAATCCAACAAGGTGGGGGGTAAAAAAAAAATAAAAACAATCACGGGGGTTTGTACATTGGGGTTGTTTTTCTGGTGACGGAGCAGCACTTCGATCTGCTCATCCTCTGAATGGATGTTTGTTCCCATATAAGTGGCACAAAGGGGGGGGGGGGTGGGGGGGGGGGGGGGGGCACAGCTGGCCTGCACCAGCTGGAGGGACAAGCTGCTGGAAGACACTCAGAACTTTCACCCATCAGCCCTCCTCACCCCTCACAAACAAGACTCCTGGATCTAGAAGAGAGATTTTATGATTATAATGAAGAACTCTTATGGTTCAGACCCCCCCCCCCACCCGATCTGAAGCAAAGACAGCAGCTCAGTTCAGCAGAGGATTCATCTGCCACCAGCTTGACCTGTCCATGACACCTTGACGCTCGTTTTCCTCGGTCTTACACCTCGACACAATCCGTGCGTCTTTCTGCTGAACCCATTTTCTTTTCCGTGTCTTCAAGTTCCAGACTCTCCTCAACACAGACCTTTACTCTTTGTGCCCGTTTTGGGGGGGTTCTTGTCCAACTGGTGTAGCCTCCTCCCCCCCACCCTCGTTGTTAACCAGGACCCCTTGGATCAATATTCATCGGAGAACCCAGTGAGACACCATCTGGTCCTGGGGAAGAGGACAGAGGGGGGTGGTGTCCCATTCCTTTGATTCGACCCACAATTCCCCTGCATGCGTAAAACAAAAATCCTCCACAAAGCCAGAGTCAGACTCACAATCGTTCAGCTTTAGACTTTAACATGTTTTCCATCACATTTGAGTAATTGGGCGTTATTTTCCAGCCTGTTCAGTGAAACCGACATTAAACTATTAATCTCTGGTGCCAGGCCCGTGGAGTCGTCAGCAGGTCAAATAGTCTGAAAGAACGAAGTTCAGCCGCCGGGAAACACTCCTCTGTTACAGACATGGTTCAAATAACAACAGCCAACTTGTCTTTTATTGTTTTGATCCTTATCTTGGTCAGGTATGTGTGTAATCTGATGTGAAGCTAAATTT